AAGCCTGACCCCCCTGCGGGAATACATGATCCCTCAGAGGCATAGGTATCCAAACCCGCACTCCCCGACGTAGCCCGCGTCGGGATCTTGGCAGTCTCACTGTTAAGACTAACATACAAGGTATTCGGCTTCTTCTTCCATCGCTGTTCAACCGGGTCAATCTCGACCGGCATTGCATTCGCGACCTTCTTGAAAGTGCCGTTCGGGTACCATGCTCCAACGATTGCCTCGCACATTTCACTCGGATAGAGAGCAGTCGTTGGGGTGACCGACCCCTCAATGCGTGCATGAAGGTATCCCTTCTCGTGCTTGCATTTCCGGCCTGACAGCTCATCAATGAGCTCCTTGGAGGTCGTCGCAACCTTCCACTGCTTCCTGATTGGCACACCGTCCTTGTCCTGCATCCCGAAATCACAGCCGTCGAAATCAACGGTCTCGACATCAGGATCAGCAAGAAACCTCTGCATGAACGGCTGCTTCCATCCAAGACAGTGTCTAGGCCACTCAAATGCAACCCTGCCCCCTCCTCGCCTAACGGCTCGGGAGGCCCGCAGGAACGCCGCAAACATTACCTGAGAATTCCGTCTAAGATCGTTCAGGTGTGATGCAAACTCAGCACCGTGAATCGAAAGGTTGACATACTGCCATGTACTCCACGGTCCGCACGGAATTGACGCCCACAGGTCACACCCAGGATTAACCTCGATGATCCCAATAAGCCGACTAACGTCTTTGGCTTTGGTGATGTCAAATGAGCCAACGTGAACGCGAATTGCATCGCCTCCACACTCCATCATCACTGCGGACAAGCGCGAGTCAGGTTCACACGCAAACTCGATGAGGAGCTTGCGGCCAGGCGCTGGAGCAGCCGGGTCCCTCACAGGATGTTCGCGGCGTCTTTCTTCCCTTAGGGATAACTCCCGTTCGGTTTGAACATATATCTCCCGAGACCGGGTGGACATCTGTCTCCAACTATCCGCATCAATTGAATTGGGTTTTCCGGCGCCTGCGTATGGCCGCTCACGCCTATCGGCGGATTGGCATAGTCGATCCTGTCTCCGTGCAGCTTATGACCCTTCTTCGGACCTCCGGCAGGTTTGGCTCCTTCTTCCTTTGGCCTAAACCTACCGTGGGGAGCACATCCCTTATCAAAAAGGATGGTCACACCAGTCCAAAAACCACGCGTGAAATGCCGATGATTGGGAGCATCGTGATGACGATCATCTCTCACCCAATTTCCAACGGCATCAAGCCCCCGCATGTGCGTGACCCTAACGGTGTCAAGCTCCTCATGCGAAGGACCACCTGGAGGAAGGTCCTCGTTAGTCGTCCCGAAGAACTTCTTCCGCACCTCAACGTGGATGCGATACCAGGCGCTGTCCTCGTCGTGCCGCTCCCAGTAATCTGAGACGCACGCGTCACCACTCACTTGGACAGCCTTGCTCTGAATGGCCCCATCAGGCTTGGAAGAGCTACCGCCCCCCTCGTCCTGTTGGTCATCGTCATCATCATCAGGATCATCAAACCGACCTTCATCGAAGTCGAATTCATCCCTGATCTTCCTACTCGGCTTAAAGTCGGCTCTTCGGTCAGCTAACGCCTCCCGAATGGTCCGAGTCCTAGCGTCATAGGATGCCAACATCGGGAACACGTAGGGCTCCTCAGGGTTCTTCCAGATCCGTTTGACCTGGTGTATACTCGGTTTCCTGAGACCCCTTTGGATGTGCTCGAGATCAGCAACGAGATAGTCGCCCTTCCACAGCCCCCCTGGTTCTAACCGATAGCCTAGAAATAGGCCTGGCTTGGAAGATGGGGCGAACTTCGGATCCTCCTCTATCTTGATGAAGTCCCGCTCTTTCTTCTCGGCGGGCAGGGCAGTAGTGACACTTGTCTCTTCAACCTCTACCTCATCAATGGGAACAAAGTCCGGTTCGTCGTTGCACTCGGGTTCT